GAGAATTATGATTAACAGCAGAAATATTACTAATATTTATTAAATGTGAAAAAGCTTTTTAAAATAATGAAAATAACATAACATGAAAAAGTCTTCGATTTAATTTGTATTAGTTGAATTTTATGTATCTCTCACTAAAAACTAAGCTGTGTAGTCATAAAACCATTTTCAGAACCTGGAACATGACTGTGATGAAGTTGATTATATGTAAAAGCAGCCTGCCGTACAGTGAGCTTCCTCATGCTGCTGGAGTGATCTGCTGCAGAGCAGAACCCGACTGCAAGATGGACTTTACTACTTAGACTTAAGAGCAAGCAACCATCCACATTTAATTTCCACAGTTAACAAAAAATAAAGTTTCTGACTCCGGTTTGAAAAACAAAAAAAAAAAAAACATTTTTGATTCATGGAGGGGACAATTTGAAGGTCTAAGTCCCCATGAGGATTTTCGACCAAATTAGTCACACCCTATCGCCCTGTAAACATTACTAAAACTGAAAATGGTACCTACTGAATTTATTCATGTATAATACGATCATCATTTTTTGAGCTTTAAAAGCATTAAAAATCTAATTATCAATAACCGGTGTATAGTACCACCCCCTTACTTTATGGATGATTTTTAGTGTTAAATTTCTATATTATGAATAAATACAGTAACTAAAAGTACACATGCTGACAGTATTCCTGTGTTGTGTGCAGTAAGGCCCTGAACAAGGAGTACGAGGAGTACGTGCTGACGGTGGGGGACTTCGATGAGCGGGTGTTTCTGGGAGCCGACGCCGACGAGGAAATCGGCACTCCGAGGAAGGCGGTTCAGGAACGGGCCGCGGGCCAAACGCTCGCTCAGAACCAGCTGCAGCAACACGTGGAGAAGGTACGAAACGGTCCGAGGCGCCCCGCCAGCGACCGTCCAGAAACTCAAGCCACTCTGTGTGTGCAGTCCGGCTCCCTGGCTCCGCCCACCCCGCTGACCGGACGGGTCTACCTGAAGGAGAAGGACCTGCTCTTCACGCCCGTGTCCTCGGCCACGCAGAGCGTCAGCCGGCTGCAGAGCATGGTGTCCGGTTTGAAGACGGCGCCCAGCGAACACCTGCTGCACATCTTCAAGTTAGTCGTCCTGTTTGACCCTGAACGCTCTTAGAAATAAAAACTGAACCAGTCAGGGACTGGTTTTATGGTTGTAGCTGGATTTTTCTCTTAGTTTTTTGAATTTTAGATTTCTTGTTTTGTGTTCCAGGTCTTGTTCCAGTGATCCCACAGAGCCCATACTGGCTCGAGTGAAGACTCTGGGGCGAGCCTTTAAAGATCATTACACCAACGACTCCGAGGACACGCCGGGCTCTCACATAGGTAGAGGAGAAATAATTAGTATTGGGCGATGAGGATAACTGGTGCGATTGATCCCATCTGTTCTTTCAGATTTCGCAGAGAACCGTTTAAAACTGGCAGAAATCCTGTATTACAAGGTTCTGGAGAACATCCTGGTTCAGGAGACCAAACGGCTGCAGGGCAGAGACATGAGTGTAAGCAGAGGTGGTTTGTGGGTTCATTTTTTTTTAACAGTTCTTTGTTTTTTCTTTTTTTTTTTTATTCCAGAAACAGAAAAAAARGTTTTTGTGTAAACCCTGGAGGCTGACAAGTTAAAGAAATGTCAAACTAGTTAGCTAACCTTTATTTATCACGGCTGCCTGGTTAGCTAGTTATAAAATTTAGTTTTAGTTTATTCAATTTATTTCGTTCATAAAAACAAAACAGTCCATATACATTAAAATAAAAAATAAAGAAAATCATTCCGTGAAAGTAAAACGTGTTTATTCATCCTGTTATCAGACTATTTAAGGTGGAGACAGATAAGAAGTTTTTTTTAATAAATTAGCTAAACTAGCTATATTAATAAAAATACAGTTTTCAGTTGGTTATAGAAAAGAAAAAGTATTTAAGCTAGTGTTTATTTATGTCTTTATTTGTTTATTTACAGACAGTACCTATTAATGAAAGTCCTCAGCTCCACCTTAAATGCGATGAGAACGACAGCGTTAACTTCCTGTTTGACAAAAAAAGGACATTTTCCAGTATTTGGAGTATAAAATAAAAAAGAATAACCATCTAATATTATATTGGATCACAGTATTTGTTTTTGAAATAAAAATCAAATGACCAGGGACCACTTTGCAATGTTTATGTAGCGTTTTGCTATGTTGAAATTTTAGCTAGCTTTTTGTTTCTTTAGCTTAAATGTTGTGTTTTGCTACCAACAACTCAGTTTCTGCTTCTTAAGCTAACTTCAGCAGTCATTCAGCTTTCAGATTTTATTTGAATTTTTTCAGAAAATTATCTATTTCTAGGTTGAATAGTTTGAAATATGTTTCCTGATTAGAAAAAACTTCAAAATTTTGTGATAATTTAGAAAATAAGAGTTTTTTATAAGTCTGCATGGAGAAGTAGATATTGTCTGTGTAAAGAGCCTTGTTTTGTGTTTTTTCTGTTGGTTTTAATGTAAAACCTGTTTTGTATTAATAAACAACCTGTGCTTGTTTGTGGTCAGGTTCTGTTGGAGCAGGACATCTTCCACTGCTCCCTGATGGCCTGCTGTTTGGAGGTGGTCTTGTTCTCGTACAGCTCTCAGAGGACCTTCCCCTGGATCATCAGCATCTTCAAACTGGCTCCGTTTTACTTCTTTAAGGTGGCAAAATCCTCAAGTGACACATTCCSCTTCAGGTTTTCTGCTGCAGACTAACGCTGCTCGTATCAGCTGCTTTAGGAAATGTGGGACAGAGAAGGCTTAGAGTCTAAAAGTGACAGTTTCGTGTTTTTACCCAGGTGATCGAGGTGTTTATTCGTGCTGAGGAAGGTCTGTCCAGAGACATGGTGAAGCACCTGAACTCCATCGAGGAGCAGGTCCTYGAGAACCGGGCCTGGACCATGGGCTCCGCTCTGTGGAGTGCCCTGGAGGCTGCTGGGAACAAAGTCCCCACAGTGGAGGAGGTTAACTTCTCCTCCTGTCTGGACTCTGGTTCTGGTTCTACAAACGGCCCGTCTCACCTGCCTCTAGTGGCTCACTCCCCAATCATCCACCCTCGAATCAGGGAGTTCAGATCAGGCCTGGGAAGCGCACGTAAAGGTGTGCATTGTCCCGTTTCTGCTCACCTTTCTGCTGTGTGAGATCAGCCTCAGAACTTTGTCTCCTCTCCCCCACGCCCCTGCAGAAGTGCCCCCCTCTCCACTGTCGGTCCACGACAGGTACAGCTCTCCGGCAGCCGGCAGCGCCAAACGACGGCTTTTTGGTGACGACCCTCCGGCGCCCTCTGCACACCTGAACACCATCGTGTCGTCTCCGGCCAAGAGGCTGACGTTCGGTCCGAGCAGCGGCACGCCGAAGACCCTGGGCCCCGGAACACAGACCACCATCCTGAGTATCCCCCTGCAGGGTAAACGTTTTACACATGAAAGAGTTAAATATCTGCTCTGACAGTCAACTTTTATTTTGAAATTTATTTAAAGAGATCCCTGATTAGTTGTAACATTAGACTTTAGTTGAGAAACATATATTTAACTGTAAAATAAAGACTAAAAATACTGTAGGCTGTTTAATTTTTATCATTTTTAAACTAAAATTTTAAAAATATATTACACGGGCAGGGCCGTTTTATTTACACGCAAAGCATTCTGGGTAAATGTTGACGTGGATAGGTCCTCGGTGTGAGTGAGCTATATCCACCCCGAAGGTTAATCTTGGACAATATCTGATYATTGTCTCTTTTAAATGAAACCAGAGAGCGTTGACAGAGAGGAGAAGGRAGAAATGACTCAGCCTGTAACTGAAAATATGGATGGAGGACAACAGAGCTGCTTCATGGAAGAAGAACCTCAGCTTAGCCTGTTAGCTTTAACATTAGTCCCGATGCTATCAGTATTAGCTCAGCGCTACACATTCTCCTCTTGTCACTGAGGTCCTCCATCCACATGACAGAGAGGGGAACGCAAAAATGACTCAGCCTGCAACTGAAAATATGGATGGAGMACCTCAGTTTAGCTTGTTTGTCYCGCTAGCGCCGAGCTAATACATATAAGGCAATATAGCGTCGGCGCTAGCACGAAGGCTAACAGGCTAAGCTGAGGTTCTTCTTCCATGAAGCAGCTCTGTTGTCCTCCATCCATATTTTCAGTTKCAGGCTGAGTCATTTCTACCTTCTCCTCTCTGTCAACGCTCTCTGGTTTCATTTAAAAGAGTCGATCATCAGATATTGTCCAAGATTAACCTTCAGGGTGGATATAGCTCGCTAGCAGCCTCYCACCGAGGACCTATCCACATCTTCATTTACCCAGAATGTTTTGTGTGTAAATAAATTGGCTCCATCTGTGTTAAAATATATTTTAAAAAATTTGTATTTTTACAGTCTTTATCTTACAGTTAAAATAAGTGTTTATCAAGTAAAGTCTAATGTTACAAATGATCATGGATCCCTTTAAAAGATGATTTGTTATTGGTTCTTATGTGTTTGTGTGAATATCTGCAGGCGTGGGTAACGAGCGCACGATTACGCTGATCCCGGTGAAGCCGTGTGACTCCTCTGGCGTCATCACGACTCAGTTCCTGCTGACCACCTCTCCGAGTCGTCCCGCCATCGTCGCCYCGACCTCCGAACCCCAAACAGGAAGCGGTCGACCGCGACGCACCGGATCCCTCGCTCTTTTCTTCAGGAAGGTGAGGAAACGTGATGGCGGCTCGCCCCCTCCTGTCTGAGGCGCTGGAGCGTCCGCAGATGGTGATGTTTGTCGTGGTCCCTGCAGGTGTACCACCTGGCCAGCGTCCGTCTGAGGGACCTGTGCTTGAAGCTGGACATCTCCTCGGAGCTGCGAGGGAAAATCTGGACGTGTTTCGAGCACGCGCTCGTGCACTGCCCCGACCTGATGAAGGACCGGCATCTGGACCAGCTGCTGCTATGCAGCATTTACATCATATCCAAAGTAAGGAAACCAGGAGGAGCTTCATCATTAATTAAGAATTAATTACAGCTGACAGCTGTTTGGGGGMGCTGGCATTTTAACAGCCTGTTTTAATTAAGCAAGATATTGTCCTTGGAGGGAAACGTGGCTGTTTCTGTACAAAAACACTATCAGCATGTTAGAAGGAAGATCAAAAATAGCTCATCGTTTTTGTTTTTACTCGTGTTAAAGTAAGTAAAAAATGCGGGTTCAAACCTCAACCTCAATAAAAAYTGCTTACCTAATCAAACCTGATTTCTCTTTGATTAAAACTACAAACCGCATAACCAGTGGTGGGCAGTGCTAATCCAAAATTTAGTTGCGCAATTTCTAAAGCGCTAGTTGAATTATTTAGGTCCGCAAGTTCAAAAGCYCATATAATCAATAAAACTTAGCAGAAGCTAAACATAAAGGGCAAYTTTATCTCCGTTTACCAGAAAACATCCCAGTATAACCATGAAACATGTCAGCACTTTACTGCCAACTAGTGGAAAGTAAGGTTAGGCACAATCGTATCGTGTGCAATTAATTGTCAGAAAAACATTACCGGTAATCGATTATTTTTGGCACTTGACGATTAATACYATTAACGTCACCAGCTCGGTGCRCCTCTCKGCTTCAAATATGACGAACATTAAAAAAAAGGTTCTGTAATTTATTTATCTATCAACACAATMTAAAATTTGATGTATAGCCTGAAGTCTGTAATTTTGACACAATTTGGAACAGATTTTTACGAAGYGCAAATCTTTCCCACTAAATTGGTCATGCGACCAGGACATAAGGGTGTCCAGGGACTCCAGGGGATTAATCGTCTAATTAATCGTTATCGGCTAAARACCACAATTAATCGTGATTAATTTTTATGCCAATATTGCCCYACCCTAGTGGAAAGATCATTTTCCTCTCACAGATTGGCASATGCAGTAGCGGTTTGGGGAGGTGATTTGTCGAAACACACTTTTGAGTCATGGTTTAATAAAATAGTTGTGGATTGCTAGTTCTGCTGCTWCTTGGTCATTTTCTTATGTTTATGGTAGGGTTTCGGTAAGAAAGCATGCAGACATATTAGTGATTTTAAATGGTTGTAAAGCTGAAGCGATGCATTCTGGGTAGGCTACAGGACGAAGAACAGGAACTCTTTGTTCATTTCAAAATAAGAGTGTGAATTTAAACTGTTCCTTGTTTCTTTATTTATTGTTATTAATTATTTAATATTTATTGCTGCGGTGTCCCTCCAACAGGAGGTACAAACTACACAGCTGAGCCTGGTTCTGCAGATCAAGGGTCGCTGTTTTCACACAGTGGAGGTTCTTTGTGTTAACAAGAAACTGCTTTCTCCTCCCGTGTTCAAGAAAAGGATGATGAAGCTTTAATGAATTGTATGGCTACATAACGTAGTGGATATAAACGGCTCTCTCTTTACTTTTGACATATTTGACTATAGAATTAGGAAAATTATTTGTGATTAGCGCTACTCATTTCTAAATTTAGAAAGCACAAATCCGCACATAATTTGAAGAAATTAGTTAAACCCCTAAAGTGCAAAGGAGAAATTGAGGTCAGCAGTTAGCGCATTTGAGCTTTAGGGGACTAGTGCCCATCATTGCGCATAACGGTAGCATATATGACCCCCCGTACCAGAACTCACCAGAACAGATTTATTGTTTTGGGTGGGGGTCGGGGGGTGTGTGAGGGCTCATTGGTGCGCTGGATGGATAGCTCTTCATCAAATCTAAACAACAACAAAAAAWKTSWMYCMCRRSTGT